TTTTTTTGGTTTATAGTCTTAACATTAGATGTGTTTTATATATAGATATGAATTCTCCTGAAATAGTATTTCGTTTGTTACGTATTGTTACGTAAAAACCGTCTCTCTCTCTCTCTCTCTCTCTCTCTCTCTCTCTCTCTCATGTAAAAGTAATTAAATTTTATCGCATACTCTCGATAGCCAGTGCTATCTACCATCCCCTACACCCCCATCGTATTGTTTAGTCCAATGATAGGTGATGTTCATTGAATGTGATGCCCACTTGAGGTATGAGAGTGTAAGTACACTATACGGCACAGAAATGTGATAACCAGTGACCCGGGTGTTTACCACTGGAATATACTGGCACTTGGTCAAATTGCTTCAAAATACAAAATGCTTAACGCATTTACTTAAATTTTAGTAATTATTTTACTGAACTACATACATAATGTTTGTTAAAAAAAATAAAAATTTAATTTACTCATTTGTCAGTAGTCATTATAATTTAAAATATTAAAATAAATTCAAACTGTATACTAATTTTAGAATAATCATGATTATATATTTACATAAATTTTCTTGATTAAAATTGGAGGGATAATTGGTAACAATTTTATTAAATTATAAGCAATAATAATTAATCATAATTTTTACTTTGTTCACTAATTTTATTAATATTATTTTATAAAATATTTTAAATTTTAAATAAGACAACATACCTGACTATCCCTTTATATCCTTCTTATCCAATGGTCTCTCTCTCTCTCTCTCTCTCCCTCTCACTCACTCTCACTCTTTCTCTCGATGTTTAGAGCACTTATCCATAGTCTCCAGTAATATGAATGACATTTGCGACCACTTTATGTCATACGTCGCGGACATTACATGTCTTATTGTATTTTGCAATCCCGTGGGATTGATATGATATATATGAGATTAACTGTGCTAGATAATGGACCACTCGTATCACAAAGCTAAAAGTTACAATATGAGATACAACTAGTATCGTAATAATAATAATGCATTGAATTAGTCATCTCTCTCTCTCTCTCTCTCTCTCTCATTGATATAACTTTTATATATACGAAGTGCTCTTAAATGTGAATTCAATTGAGAGTAAACTAATGCTTACATTAAGATTAGGTTTTCTTAAGACATAACTATTATATAACTATATCTCCATTTGTTTTGTATAATATTGTTATTGTAAAGTAGGCTGTCCACTCTGGTTGCCCCAAGGGGTTAGACATGTACGGTAATAATGGAATTATATTTATAGACCCAATACTTAGCCCCGACTAATACCTGATATTATTATTTTATTGTATTGTGTTTGTATAGACACTATGTTTTTAAGAGCTATCATAAAAAATAATATTAACTACTAATCCATTATTTTTATTGATTTCATATTTCTCGTGAATAGTGAAGAGTTTTATACTGAAATTTTTGTGTATAAATCACAAAATTTTTCTTTAAATTAATTTTTTATTGCTTTATAGCCACTTAATAGGGTATAAAATATAATTAAGTTAATATACCGGTACTTGATATATTGAGTATATAGTTTGTATGTTTGGTATACTTTATTGTACTCGATTATAATACTTATTATAATTTATGAAAACAATTTTATTAATATCGCCTTAATAATAATAATATTAATACAGTACTTATGTTTGATTTTTAATGTACTGTACTAATTTATATTAAAATTTTATTGTTAAAATGAAATAATTTTATAAATAAAAATCATATTTTTAAACTCACCTACCTGCTATAAATAGCACGTTTCTACTGTGTGAACAGGAATATAATAATTTTATCAAAATATTCTTAATTATCTAATAATGTTCCAGGTATTTTGTCACTAAACTATCGCATAGTGAATATTATTAGGCATTGCTTGATAGGAATAGTAACATAAATGTATTATTTTACAGTATATTAATATCACACAATAATAAATATTTTATATGATAAACACATTATTGTTATTAATATTCACGGAAATCTATTTATATTAATGAATATCAAATGATATATTATTTAAGTACAAAGAGTAAAATATCAATAAATATTGACTTTATATGCCATACCTGTACTAACAAATAGGTACTTTACAATAGTCTAAGCCTCTTAGCATATCATAAACCTAAAGGCTGTCAGTTTTACACGAGATATCAATTTTAAAAAGCATATTTTGACCTCATAATATACACTCAATTTGTTTGAACCCCCACTAACAAACCTAATCTAGCACATGTTTAAAATCGAAAATATCTGTAAATATTTTGCAAGTAGTATTCTTACAAAATTACTTTAAATTATTACAATATTATGTGGAAAGGTAATTTACAGATAGCTTCCATAATTAAAATAACATACAGTTTGTAACTTTAATAATTTTACGTAATTTCTAAATAAATCTTCTATAAAATCATTAGTAACAGTAGAATACCAAGGTCAAAAATAAAAATAATTATTTTTAACATGTTTAAAATTTTAATAATTACCTTGTCCGTTGCTATTGTGGCATACGGTGACCAATATGTGGATACAATTAACATTATGGGTCAGTACGTATCGTGCCTGGATAAAATACCCTCAGATGTGGGCGATAAATGCCTGACCGATAAGTTAGGCCCCTCTAAGTCGGGCGATGAGGACAGACACCGTATATGCTGTTCCATATGGGCCCTCATTGATTGTGCTAGGTTATATGAAAAGGTAATTTTTAAATTAATTATTTTCAGTTAAGTTTTAAAATAAAATATTATTTTAAAAATGAAGTTGATATCAAATGAATATTAATTAAAAATTATTATTATTTGATATAAACACAGGGATATTTTTAGAAATTATTTTATCATAACATTTGATAATAAAACTATTTTATAAATAAAATAGACATTGATGAATATATCCAAATTAACAAAATATTATATAAGGTAAAACATAGTCATTAAAAAAAATGTATTACTTTACAGTAGCTAATAGTTTAAACACGATAAATTAAAATAATTAAATGATTTTAATATTACTATTTGATTTAATTTGTGAATATTTATAAATTGTAAATTAAAACTCAAAATACCAAAATATAATACAATAGCCTACATAAATTATTTAGTGGGAGCCCAAGTACCGGACATACACAGTTTTTTATAAAATTAACAAGCTTGTATTTTGTAAATAACCAGGACTATTGCAACGCTGCCGAGATTGATGACTTTGAAAAGCAAGCTCAAAATTATATAACCACTGATTACCAGGGTCAGTGTACCACATTTAAATACCATGTTGTTGGGGATTGCCATCGAAATGCAACGATATATTAAAATTGAAATGTATTTTAATTACTAATAAAATATTGATTTTAATTAATTGATTGAAATTTATTACGAGAGAGAGAGAGTCAATGAAATACTGTATAATTATTAAATAGACTTTTATTTTCATTTAATTTTACAAGCAAATATTTTTAAAAATTACATCAAAAACAATTTCTTTTCTTAATTAAAAATAAAAAGCAGTATTAAATAAAAAAAATTTAATTTTTTTCTGACGTGTATTTGTTTTACAATCGGTTTTGTATTTTGTGATAACATTAGCATGAATTAGTAATAATAATAATAATAATAATTAAAAGGATCACAGTGGTGTAGTGGTTAAGGCGTTGGGCTATAGTGTAGTAGTGTGTGAGTTCGAGCCCCGGTACGGAAAGGATTTTGTGTATGTTTTCTGTGTGTTTTCTGTGTCTCCCGAACCCTGCTCAACCAACGCTGCTTAGGACGGCCAACCTAAGTAGTATGGGGAAAGCGGGGCGCAAAGTGAGGACGAGTTTCTGCCCGAACCCGGGTACCGGTACTTCGGTATCGGTGCCCACCCGGGGGTGCCCGCAAGGGTGCTCCCACCCCGGGGGTGCCTGCAAAGGTG